AGTGAGGACAATTCCCAAGCGAAGGAAATCTATAGCCTTGAAAGCAACCAAGGCGGTTGAAGACGTAATCAATGATGAAGAAGAGTCTATTGGCATGGAAGAAAATCCTAAACTTGCTCTTGTCATCAAGCGCTGCAACAAGTTCATCAAGAAAAGCTTCAAACCAAGAAGGGATAATACAAAGAAAGCTACACCTCCTACATGCTATGAATGTGGGAAAGTGGGACATATCAAGCCTTATTGTCCTAAGTTGAAGCAAGAGAAGGACAAAAAGTTCAAAAAGAAGCAAAAAGCTTATATCTCATGGGACACTAGTGAATCATCCTCCGACACTAGTGATATGATGATGAAGAGGAAACGGAAAATCTTTTTCTCATGGCTATTGAGGATGAGGTATCATCTAGTTCTTATACTACTCCTTTATTTACTTCAGATGAGAAGTTTTCATAGGATGAATTATATAGTGCATTTAATGAACTCTATGGTGAATTTCTAAATTCCACCAAAGAAGTTAAATTTGCCAAGGAAAATGTCAATCTTTAAAAGCCAAAATAATTGAACTTAATAAAGAGATGGAATTACTAAAACTTGAAAATAAGAAACCCTGCAAAGCTAGTGGTGATGTTCCTTGTGCACAATGTAATATCCATGAAAAAGAAATAGCTAGATTGTATGAACATCTAGGAAAATATAATAAAGCAAGTAAGGATATGCACTTCATAGTTTAACAAGGACAACATAATAAAAAAAGGTCTAGGCTTTCAATCTAAAGGACTTAAGAAAGTGAATTTTGTAAAAGAAGGTGAAAGACCTTTGGATAGTTCTAAGACTAAGGATAATATATCTCAAAATCATGATAGTAATCCTAAGGATACTCAACTTAGAGTAGCAAGATCCCCCACTAGCTCTAAGATGAGAAAGTCTAGTCAATATAGGAAACACGTTGCTTTTATGTATACTAGACAACCTAGACAATTTCCTAGGAATAGACAACCTAGAAATTATAGGACTATGAGGAATGAACCTAGACAACCTAATATTGTTAGGTCAGATAGGAAGTCATCTAGTCTATATATATACATGTATGCGGTGAGTAATAGTGCTTATATTCTCAATCGTGAGAATATAAGACCTACACTCAACGCTATTCCGTACGAATTGGATAAGGGTAGAAAGCTTAATCTTTCGTATTTTCATGTCTTTGGTTGCAAATGTTATGTTTTAAATAATGGCAAAGACAACTTAGGTCCTTTTGATGCTAAGTCAGATGAAGAAATTTTTATAGGCTATTCTTTCTCTAGTAAGGCATATAGAGTTTTCAACAAATGTACTCTAGTTGTTGAAGAATCTGTGCATGTTATTTTTGATGAGAATAATGCTTGCTTGTCGAGAAAGATTTCTTGTGATGATATTGTAGGGTCTTTTGAGAAAATGAATCTTGAAGAAACTGAGTCTAGTAAGGCAAAATCTAAAAAACAAGATGTTGAAGAAGTTGTTGAGAACAAGAAAGATGAGTTTGTAGCAAATGAGTTAACACCTAAATGGAGAACTTCAAGATATCATCCACTAGACAATGTGATTGGTGAAATTTCAAAAGGGGTAACTACTCATAGCTCATTACGTAATTTCGTTAATCACATGGCTTTTGTTTCTCAAATAGAACCTTCTACCATTGATGATGCCATTAATGATGAGTACTGGACTACGGCCATGCACAAAGAGTTAGATCAATTCAAACGTAACGACGTTTGGGAGCTTATGCCTAGGCACAATCATTCTATTATTGGTACCAAATGGGTATTAAGAAACAGACTCGACGAAAACAGTATTGATGGGAAATAATACGTGGCTCGGCCCACATTTCCCAATTATTTACGAAAAACGGTCAAACCGGGCCTGTTTAATAAAATGGAGGAATAATAGAATATTCCTCCGTAGATGCTCCAACTACTCCTATAAAAGGAGGGCTCCCCCTCAATGTTAAGGGAGGCCAAGTTTTATACTCTCCCCGGCCCATTTACTCTCTCTCTCTCTCTAGAAAACTTTAGTGTGTATATTTCCTTCTTCTTCAAGAGCTTCTAGCTCCACCATTAATGACTTCTACGCCTAAATTATGTACCGTGTACACACCCCCGATATTAATAAAAATCCCCCGTTGGCAAGGTACCTCCAAAAAGGCCCGTGGTTTTCTCCCGATTTGGGTTTCCACGTCAAAATGCCCGTGTTTATATTTTGGTGTATTTTTTAGACTAGTTTATCGTTTTTGCCCGGCTAAAAACGATATACCGGTCGATAATTTACACCATCATTTTGGTGCCACCCGTGGGACCCAGACAAATAGCCGGCCATGTCTTGTTGAAGTGAGAAAATAAGCAGTTTGAATCATTGCTGGTCCGTTGTTTCCAGAATCAGCCGCCGTCGAAGAAGCTATACCTCCTTCGCTTGTTTGATGGATTTTACATCCATCATTCTTTCAAAGTCTTCAACTACACAAATCCGCCACTGTCGTTGCGGTTGTATGGCAGCCGGCCGTTGGAAGCCACAAAATCTTCAACTATATATACAAAGTCATCGGTAGCTGGTAGTCATCGACGAAGCCATTAGAACCTGCCGTTGAAATCTGTCACGGTGGTTGTTTTGAGGCCGGCTGGAGCTATTATATATCGATCGTTGCAGCAGACAGTTTTGTCACTACTACGATTCATCTCCATTACTTCGCTCGAGATCTAGCTAGGCGCCACCGTCATCTATTTTGCTCGAATTTGGCTATCCTCGTCGCCACCCCTCAAAAGTGTCATCATTGACAGAAACTATGGACGACGACTACGGAGATTAAAACTCATTCGACGGATTCTGATCGATCTACATCAACACCCCCACAGCTAAAAGCTCTATCCTCGGCATTAATGTTGACGGGGATAGACGACGAGTTTCCACTGGCAAGTCAAAATTGCCAAGGAAACCATCGATCTTCACCATTGAAGATTGAAGGTTGCAGAACATTGAAGAAGGTTGCAGAAGCTTGTAGCCGCCTCGGCTGCTTTGGCGTGCCGATGTTGTCGACGGGATAGATCCAGGACCCTCTCAGAAAGATTCCATCTAGACATGCTTTCTTTAAGTTAGAAGAAGAAGGACCGACCAAGACGGTTGGCGAATTGGCTCGCTTTAGTGAAAATCTACCATGTATCGCCGGCCACCTTCCCCAATTAGAGATGTTCACCACTGTTATGGGAGGTGTTCCATTCAAATCTCAAATCCCACGTTGGCTCGACTCACATTTCCCAATTATTTACGAAGAATAGTCAAACCGGACCTGTTTAATAAAAGGGAGGAAAAATAGAATATTCCTCCGTAGATGCTCCAGCTACTCCTATAAAAGGAGGGCTCCCCCTCAATGTTAAGGGAGGCGAAGTTTTATACTCTCCCCGGCCCATTTACTCTCTCTCTCTAGAAAACTTTAGTGTGTATATTTCCTTCTTCTTCAAGAGCTTCTAGCTCCACCATTAATGGCTTCTACGCCTAAATTATGTACCGTGTACACACCCCCGATATTAATAAAAATCCCCTGTTGGCAAGGTACCGCCAAAAAAGGCCCGTGGTTTTCTCCCAATTTGGGTTTCCACGTCAAAATTCATGTGTTTATATTTTGGTGTGATTTTTAGACTAGTTTATCGTTTTTGCCCGGCTAAAAACAATATACCGGTCGATAATTTACACCATCAAGTATAATCACTAGAAGTAAAGCTAGGCTTGTGGCTAAAGGCTACAATCAACAAAAATAAATACTTTGATGAGACTTATGCACCTATAGCGAGATTAGAAGCCATTATATTACTACTTGTGTATGCCGCTACTATAAATTTCAAATTGTATCAAATGGATGTCAAGAGTGCTTTTTTGAATGGTTTCATTCAAGAAGAAGTGTATGTCGAACAACCTCCGGGATTTGAGGACTTCAAGTACCCAAATCACGTGTTCAAACTGAAAAAGGCTCTATATGAACTTACGCAAGCCCAAGAGCTTGGTATGAATGTTTGAGTTCGCATCTCTTGGAGAATGGATTTCAAACAGGAAAGGTAGATACCACACTTTTTATTAAGCGCAATGATTTTGACATGCTTTTAGTACAAATCTATGTTGATGACATAATCTTTGGTGCTACTAACGAACTTATATGTGAGGAATTTACGAAGATTATGCAAGGGGAGTTCGAAATGTTAATGATGGGAGAACTAAATTTCTTCCTTGGTCTTGAAATTCGAGAACTTGAACATGGAATATTTCTTAGCCAAACAAAATATTCCAAAGAGCTTCTCAAGAAATTTAAAATGGAAGATTCAAAAGAAATAGCTACCCCAATGAGTTCTCAATGCTCTCTTGATAAAGATGAAAGTAGTACGTTAGTTGATGTAAAACGGTATCGAGGTATGATTGGTTCTTTATTATATTTAACTGCTAGTAGACCCGATATTATGTTTAGTGTTTGTATGTGTGCTAGATATCAAGCAAACCCTAAGGAATCACATTTGACCACTGTCAAACGTATGCTTAAGTATGTGAGAGACACCTTGAACTTGGGACTTTGGTATCTCAAAGGTTCAACATGTACTCTCGTTGGGTATTCTGATTCTGATTTTGCTGGATGCAAAATGGATAGAAAAAGTACAAGCGGAAAATTATTAATAGAAAATGTAAGTCTAAATGTGAATTTAAAAATTTATTTAATAGAAAATGTATGTGTAAATATGAATTTACTGGATATTTTAAATTTATTTAATAGAAAATGTAAGTGTAATGTGAATTTAAACATTTCACAAACTAAAGTCATAACTCATTGGGTCGATCCGAATCCGATGATACTGGGTCATGAACATACAGTTTTCAACCCGAACCCAAAATAACCCGAACTTAAAGTGACCGAACCCGAACCTGGCGTCGATCCGAACCCGATGATACTGGGTCATGAACATACAGTTTTCAATCCGAACCCAAAATAACCCGAACTTAAAGTGACCGGACCCAGACATTTATAGTATACTACTATACTCTGCACATATTCTTCATCGCCGGACTCTCTCCTGCCGTCGCTATGGCTTCTTTTTCTATAGACGTAGTAGCGCCCTTTCTGGGGATAGCCAAGCGGAGGGTCACGCCAACCCTAACCTACACCCTAATTCCTCAAGTATGGAGAACCGGCTGCTCTCGGAGCGGGAGCTCCCTATTCGCTTCATCATCATCCTCAACTGTTCGTTCAAGGAGTATCTCTACTGCCGCGTCCAGTTATTCCCCAAAATGGAGGCGCTTGTCTAGGAGGTTCACTGCCTGTGCGACCACAACTTCCACTCCGCAAGGCGAAGGTTCTGAAGTCTTGACTGATATTATGCACGATAATCGCATTCCTGCTACAATTATCACCGGTTTCCTAGGTTCTGGAAAGGTATTTCCTGCTGTCATTCATCGATGTCACTGTAATATTTTTAATCAATTTAACTTGTTTTTGAATTGGTGGAAGTGTGATACAGGCGTGGGAACTCTTCAAGGAAGAAGAGAGTTCCGAGGCTCTGTAATGAACAAGAGAGAAGAGAGTGTTGAAGAGAGAGAAAGAAGTGAGGAGAGAAAATATCTCAAAATGTATTCTGATTACCATATCAATGGAGTTCCAGCCTTACATAGGCACCCCTTACACACATGGTGGAAACTAACTCATTCACTTACAATAAGTAAAAAGAACATGGGTTAAAAATAGAATTAAGGAAGAACAGTAATTGAGTAAAGCCCGCATCATTCCTTCCCCCTTAGCCAAAGCTTTGTCCTCAAAGCTGGACGTTGGAACCTTCTTCATGGAATCAACAGACCACTCCCACGTTGTTTCTTCAACTAGAATCTCTTGCCAACTCACTAGAACGGCACCCCTTCTGTGTTTGCTCTTTTCAGAAATCTTCTTATTAGCTTTAGGCTGAGAGTGAGTCTTAAATTTGGGTGGAAGATGAAGTTTGTAGACCACCTTTCCCTCTTTAGAAATAACATGAAAAAGGCCCAAAAGGCAAGCCCCATCTTTTACTGGACTTAAGTGGCTGGCTAACAGCTGCATTTGGCTTTGTGCCCTTTGTAACTGCCATTTCAATTGGTTAAACATAGCTATATCCTCCCCCTGCTGTAAGGACCTGTCCACTATCTTCACATTA